GAATAAATGATAATTTCATATTCACAGCAAGTTCAACTTGTTTTATTTGACTGTATGTGACACATCAAACTGAAAAATATATAAAATTTTGTCAAAATTACATGAGAACATATTCATATTTCTCCCATTTTAAGGGATTTTTTAAAATCATCCTGATATAATGAGTGATTCCAAAGCTATGGCTTGATTTGTTGGAATCCTGTTTAGGTTATTTTACTATGATTTATTTATTCATTTATTTTTTAATTCATTTTAAAGATGAAACCTTAAACAGCATTTGGACATTAGGAGAAAAAAATGTAATAAAAAAATTAAAATCATGTTCGGAGTTGTTACTGATCAAAAATGTGCTTCAGAAATACTTCACAGTTTAAACATATCATTCAAAAGATTCACTAATAAAGTACACACAAACAAACAGATGAGTTGTTTTTTTAAGTTCCTGTAAGTCATGTCAACAATTTCTACTGAACTAAGCTGAGTCTTTGTGAAGCAACTTTCACATTTTCTTTAAAAATAAATGTGAAAATTACTTTACACTCAACTCAGTTGAGTGGAAATTGTTTACATCTCCTGGTTCTTGGTTTAATAAATCTATCAATCTGTTGTTTTGAGTGTATTCATTCATTATAAAAAGCAGTTGTGTCAAATGTTTTAACCAACGCTCTGTAGCTGCCTTTTTCTCCAAACTGAATCCTTGGTTCAGCTTGATCGGTCACATATTTGACTTATTGAACCGAATCAGTTATTATTTTAGTTAAAAAGTCTTTTTGATGTTTGAATTTTAATATTTTATCAAGAAGAAAAAAAATTGTCAAACTTTCATTTGAATAATTCGTAAAGCAATGTTACATCAAGTAAGCATTTCAGTATTTTATTTTGATCCGTTTTTTTATATCTATAAGCTTCGCCAGCATTTTTACAATATCGAAATTAAAAGTGAGAAACACTGATTTACATAGCCAAAACCTGGCTGTGTAATTTGTCAAAGTGCTGATTTAGAGGAACGTTTAAAAAAATTGTTTTTCATTTCAGCACTTACTTTGAATGATTTGTCAGTTTCACAAGCCTGTACTGTACATGCTTCATCATCAGTCATACAGGAAATGTTTGCACATTTGCAGGGGCTTTTATATTTTTTTGTTAAAAGATGAAAGATATCACACGATTTGCTGTGATAGCTGGAACCGCTGATATATGTGGCGCGTCATCCTACGTACTTTTACTTCAATCGCTCCGACCTAAAAATAAAACGAGGATGTGATTTTAGCAGTGGTTCCACTACACGAGTCGTCATGTGTTTCTGTGGCTCTCATTCAAGAAGCTGAAAGTGTTACAGTAAAAAGAAAAACAACGGCCGTGTGTGATTCAGAAGTCGGTTTCATGTGCATCTTCTAACAAAATGTGAGTATTGCTTTGAAATTACGGTACATGAATCAAGAGCAGCACGCTGAAACTGATGTGTCATTTTTTTTTCTTTGTCAGTGTGACAAGTCGTCTCACGTTGTGCAGAGTTGTAAATCTGCTGCTGTCACTCCGTGGGCGGAGGGAGTATGAGTAATTCTCAGAATCACATCTATGCTGTGGCCGTCGTCACATGCTGGTGGTCAGAGTTCTATGAATCCCTCAGATTATTTGACAAGGTTTATTTTTTTGAAGTAGGTTACATCTCGCAACAAAAATGTTTGAGTCATTTTAGATAAAAGTGAAGATTAATGGGAAATGTTGCGGTTTTGACTTACAAATCACCTTGGATCAGCAACAACAAAGAGCTTTTGACATATTTCGTAACATAAAGTTGTATAACTGTTTCCTACAGACATTGATAAACATAACAGAGGTGATAAAATGTTCAATGTTTTGCCCTAAGATGCCTTGACATGGGGCTGGGGGGAGTGAGGATTGAACCAACAACTTTCTGGGTTGCAGAGTCATGGCTTCCCAGCATTATGGGAAGAGAAATATCTTCAGGTTTGAAGCTTTCTTGTTTGAAAATGTATTTTTGTTTTAATAATTCATGTTTTTGAGTTATTTACCTGCAACAAACAGGGGTCACATACTGTATGTCTGTTGAAAGAACTGGAAAAAATTTTAATTAACAGCTATTTAAATGAGTATTTGCTCAAAAGGGGAAAAAACACATTTAAAAACAGCAACCACGTTACACAAAGTGTCACAATTTTGTTTTAGATAGCAGAAAATTGCTCAGAAATAAATTATTTTCTTGAGTTCCTGGATATTTCTCAGATTCTCTAAGCACACCTCTAGACATCCACACTTAAGAAATAAGTGTCCCTTTAAAGAAATATTTCTGCTCTTGTGAAGAGACGTTCCATAAAAAGAATCAAAACCATTTTTTCCCCTTGCATCTTGAAGACAGCTTTTTGAATGACCTCAGTTTGAAAAAATTAATAAATATTTTGGATAGATATTTAATGGCTAATTTGAGCAGGGACAAGACCAAGGTGTGTTTAAAAAAAAACCTTAAAACATGTCCCAACAGTTCATGCAAATGTTGCTTCAAAATCACCAGTTTTATTTGCTGGAAATGTCCCAGACTACACAGGAAATGCTACAGCTAGCTGCTGCAACCACGTTTGTGTTTTGGGGAAAAAACCCACAGAATTCTGAAATGACACAAAATGTGAAATCAGTGGTGGTGGGAAGGTAAAAAAAATTCTAAAGAAATGTTACTATTTCAATATGAAATATGGGGAATTTGGGTTGATTTAAGGCAACAGTTAATACAATATAGTAAGTCTATAGAAGAGCCATCTCCAACAGGTAAGATAATAACTGTTAATAAGCTTTCCAGAGAACATCCCGCTGAGCAGTCTGAACTGTGAGAACGGAAAATTCAGAGCTCTGGTTTTAAAACAAACTCTTGCTGTCTTCCAGGTACACCAGTGAGTGACACCGTGTGTGGACGTTGTCCTGACGGTCACTTCTCCTCCAGCAGCTCATCCTCTGAGCTGTGTCAGCCCCACAGAAACTGCTCCGATTTTGGCTTGAAGACCCTCAAATGGGGCACGTCCACTTCAGACAGCCTCTGTGGTCCCCAGGACAGGAAGGCCACACTGGAGTGCTCTCAGCATCACGCTCTGTGCCGTAACGGTGAGAACATGCTGAAATGCTGCGAGAGTTTGGAGTTTAAATCCAGCCTTTACCCCACGGCACACACACACATGTTGGTTTTGCTATGCTTGTGGGCACTTTGCATTGACTTCCACTCATTTATATAGCCTAACCCTGATTCAAAACCCTCAACCTAGCTACCCCAGCAAAAACGTAACCCTAAATCTGACCTAAACTCAGTTTACAACATGGTCCCCATCCAAAAACAGCATCTGTATCCATTGGTCTCCATGAAGAGCAATGGGCCCCCAAGACTGTGCTTGTCTGGAAAATGGTCCCCATGATATAACAAATATGCTTCCACCAATACACACACACGCACGCACGCACACACACAGAAAACCTCAATTGTCAACAACCTAAAATCATTCAGAACTGAATTATTTTAGACTTGTGGTCATTTTCATTCCCAAAAGCAGAGGGGGTTTCCTTGGTCAGGTTTGTCATCCAGATTCCATTCTTTTCCTAATTCATGGATGTTTAAAAAAAACAACTTGAGAGCTAGAGACAGTAGAAAGAGAGAGAACAAAAGCCAGGGGATGAAATAGATGTTTATGTTGCTGCATTCAGCAGAAAAAAAAATGAACCATGATGGATCAATTACTGCTGTAACTGTCACATCCTCACACACAATAACAGAGGAAACTGAGTCAAACACAAATTGAGACACAAAACAAGCTTTTAAGCTTTGTTACTCAGACCTAAACTATCACTGACTGAAATGTAATCTGAGGGAGGTAGCCTCAAATATGAAATTAAATTCCTCAACCTGAGAAAACCACACACACACACACACACACACACTAGGCAGAATATTTAGTTTTAAACAGACAAAGCTGTTATCCATCAGGGAAGGTAATGATTTCCTCAAGCATTCTTTCAAACACAAAGGTCCTTGTTTGAAGTGCACAACCACAAACCGTCTGCAGCTAATTCTGCACCAGTTTTATCAGTTTCAACAAACGTGAAACTGAGGGCAGAGGGATTCCCAACATTAGCGTAAAGCGGATTAACCACCAGGATGTCAAAGTGAGCAAGCCACAATTACATCATTCAGGCTTCAGGGAATCAAAGCCAAAATCCTCTTTACATGAAACTTCAATGAACTTATAAGAAAGCTGTTTTTATTTATATTATATTTATTCATACAACCAATGTATGATATACTGTTTTGAACAACGCCCATTTTTCCTACAGTAAATTTCAAAACGCAAAATTTTTGAGTAATCTTCAGCTGTGAGTGTCCTGCATGTGTAAAATGGGACTGCCCTGGCTCACAATGGTAACATCAAAGGTTTCATAAAGTTTCATAAGTTTCACAAGTTTCATACGTTCATACATTGGTAAAAGAAAAAGAAATGAAAAGAAAAGAAATGAAAAAAAAGAAAGATGTGAGAGTTACTTTACCTTTTAAGGAAATCTTAACAGCTGCTGCAAAATTTGCAGCTTTGTGCAGTTTGGTACAGAGCAACATGCAGAGACGATGAGTCAGACTGATGTGGTATTAAAAGGGAACTGGAACGTGAGCTGTACGTATTTCCACAGTAGTTAATTTAAAGGGCAGCACTTTAGAAACACACATTAACATAGTGAACAAGAACCAACTGTTCCAATAATGATATTCCATATGACACTGGCTGTAATATTTATTATCAACTACCTGTATCAAGATTTTTAGAAGTAAACTAAAAATATAGTTTGTGACTCATTTTAATTTGCTGTAGGCACAATTTTATAATTATTTGCTGTTGGTCTTTTGATTGATGCATTGCAGTGAGTAAGGATTCTGAGTAATGATTAAAATATTTCTATATTAACTGACTGATGCTGTTACACAGCAATGATTACTGAAACGTTTGACATGAAAAAACGTGAGTCATCACCGCCCACTGGTCACATGCATCCACTGAAACTCTAGCAGCAAACATGTTGAATGAAATGGACTAGACAGGCTGTCAAGAGATTGGCAAAATGTATTAATTTTTTTAAACTAATAAAACTACCAATAAGGAGTCCCCTTATTGCCAGGGTTTGATGATGGATTATAATTAGGGTGTTTACTTTTCTGCTGTTGAGGGAAGGTGAGGTTTATAGTTTTACAATGATTTTAATGCTTTCAATACTGGAAGCAATAATTTGTTAAATGTCTAACCTTTACAGAACTCAAACAATAATCTATTGCTTGTCCTCAAACAGTAGGATGCCAGCTTAAAAACCTCTGTCTACATTATAGCTAAACAGAGTGGATGGCTCAACAAAACTGTGAGCATTTGTACTGGAAAAGTACATTTTCTTTTAAGCCAGTTGTCATGACATACATTAGTGATCCAGTTTTCATGGTACACTGTTTACCAGTAGAATGACTATACCCAAAACACAACTTGCTAAAGATTGTGTTCCAACTTTTGGGGGATCACACTCCTAAGCCTCCCTGGTAAGGTCTAATCAGGGGTCCTGGAGAGGAGAGTCCATCGGATAGTCGAATCTCAGATTCAGGAAGAGCAGTGTGGTTTTTGTCCTGGTTTTGGAACAGCAGACCAGCTCTACACCCTCAGCAGGGTCCTGGAGGGTGCGTGGGAGTTCACCCACCCAGTCTACGTGTTTTGTGGACTATGAGAAGGCGTTTGACCATGTCCCTCGAGGAGTCCTGTGGGGGGTACCCCTGGGAGTATGGGGTACCAGGCCCTTTGATACGGGCTGTCAGGTCTCTGTACGACCAGTGTCAGAGTTTGGTCCGCATTGCCAGTAGTAAGTCGAACTCATTTCCGGTGAGAGTTGGACTCGGCCAACGTTGCCCATTGTCACAGATTCTGTTCATAACTTTTATGGACAGAATTTCTAGGAGCAGCCAAGGTGTTGAGGGGATCCTTTTTGGTGACCTCAGGATCCCATCTCTGCTTTTTGTGGAGGATGTGGTCCTATTTGGCTTCATCAGATCGTGATCTCCAGCTCTCACTGGAGCGGTTTGCAACCAAATGTGAAGCAGCCAGGATGTGGATCAGTGCCTCCAAATCCAAGACCATGGTCTTGAGTCAAAAAAGTGTAGGGTGCCTTCTCCGGGTCGGGGAAGAGGTCCTGCCCCAAGTGGAGGAGTTCAAGTATCTCAGGGTCTTGTTCACGAATGAGGGAAGAATGGAGCGGGAGATCGACAGGTGGATTGGTGCTGCGTCTGCAGTGATGCGGGCGCTGTACCGATCCGTTATGGTGAAGCAGGAGCTGAGTTTCCTCCGCAGGGTGTCTGGGCTCTCCCTTAGAGATAGGGTGAGAAGCTTGATCATCCGAGAGGGACTCAGAGTAGAGCTGCCGCTCCTCCACATCGAGAGGAACCAGTTGAGGTGGCTCGGGCATCTGGTTAGGATGCCTCCTGGACGCCTCCCTGCTGAGGTGTTCCAGAAATGTCCCACTGGGAGGAGGCCCAGAGGAAGACCCAGGACACACTGGAGGGACTATGTTTCTCAGCTGGCCTGGGAACACCTTGGGATTCCCCAAGATGAGCTGGCCCAAGTGGCTGGGGAGAGGGAAGTCTGGATTTCTCTGCTTAGGCTGCTGCCCCATGACCCGATAAATGGAATGGACGGACAGATAGATGGACAACTTGCTAAAAGCAATCACTCTTAGAGATCACATATTTATTTCGGAGTTTTCCCTTGACCCTGCATTCCCTTAGGATTAAATTTTTCTTTATTGAGATGACATAATGGTGTTTGTTAAACAGTATTTATAGAAAGCCTAAAAGTGCCTCAAGGAAAGAGCAGGAAGCAGGGGTTAGCACAACGCAAGATCTCTGACAGAGATGATGTCTTGCTTATTGCAATAAACAAAACTCAGTCAACCACTCTAATAAGTGCCTTTATTCTGTGAATCATGTATTCCCATCCTTGTTAAATAAATATTTCCACTACATTTTGTTTCCTAAACAGAGAGAAACAGATTCTCACAACCTCATTAAAGATGGTGTAAAAGTGCCTCTTTGAAGGAATTTAAATCTTGTGGAGCCATTTGTTTCATAGAGCCATTCAATAGAGCCGTTCAATTTTGAACAACACATGTCATGGTTGGGACCATGTGTTTTGTCAAGCAGAAATGCCCCTAAAACTACAAAAAGCCCTTTATCATTTGTTGTAAGGAGCCATTCAAAAGATTTTGATTGTTCATGAATGTCACATCTCTAAAACTCAGTATACATGGGCTATACATAGTATCATTGAACCATTTTATATGCTTTTTTGTACATATTTTTTTGCAGATGTGACCCTCTGTGAGGAGGCAGTCTTTCAGTCTCTGGCCTCCCTGCGTCTGTCTTCAGTTCCTCTTGAGAGACTTCTGGAGAGTCTTCCTGGGCAGAAGGTGGATCACAAGAGCCTGGAGAGGCTGAAGAAGACCTGCAGTCCCCAACAGCAGGTCCTGCACCTGCTGCGGTTATGGAGGCAACAGAACAAGGACAAGCTTTTTGGCATCATACAAGGTACAAATGAGAAGCAGAAATGGATGCTTTTATTTCTCAGCATTCTCATATTTACCTTGACTAACGTGTGTCTCCAGGAATGAACCAGTGTGAAAGGAAGATCTCCCGCTGCAGCGCACTGAGAAACCTCACCATTGACGACCTGGTGAAGGTGACCAACAGCCTGCCGGGGATCAAAGTTCAAGAGTACAACGTGAGGGCCATCATTTCCACCTGTCCAGACAGGCAGCATGTCCTGCAGGTTCTGCACCTGTGGAAAACTTCAAATCACAACCTGGATTTGGCAAAGGGACTGTCTCACAGTCTGAAGGTGTTGCGCAGCCAGGGGGCACCGCGACATCTGCTGAAAGGTCTTAAGAAGATCAGCCGCATCATTGGAAACACCTCAGCTCACAAGATGTATGAGAAAATGTTTGTCAACATGCTCCAGGAGGACTGTTTTAAAGCTCACAAGGCATTAAATGATTGAGGTACTGAGGGGTTGACACAATCAACAATCTATCCTGTCCTCAAGTTCCACAATCCTGCATGTTTTAGAGTTTTCGCTGCTCTGACACACCTGATTTGAATAAGTGGGAGACTGAAGACATTTTTTTGCGTTGTAAGGCCCGGCTTGGCCTACCTCATGGTGCGTTCACACCGAACGCGATTTCAGCGTCAGGAGCAGCAGGTTTACATACAAAGTCTATGGTGGACGCGCTTCAAGCAACGTCGGGAAGTTCTGCGGCGCCTCAAGTGCGATTAGAGCAGCGCGATTTGAACGATTTGAACGATCTGAGCGTTCGACGCGTTGAGGCGCAAATCGCTAAAGTTAGAAAATCTGAACTTTTGCAGCTCGACGCGCCGCATCAACCAATCAGAGAGACTCCACTGTGTGACGTGGCGACATATTTCCCGACAGGACAGTTTACTGAATGATGTCCACTAACCTGAAGCTGAAATGAGTGCCTGCAGTCGTGTCCTGATCCGCAGCAATGCGTGACAGCGACTCATCAGACTGGAAAAATAGTCCTGAAAACGAGCTGTGAGCCTCTACTCTGAATTATCTGGTGAATTAATTATGAATTAATTATCTGATGAACGTGACACGCTCTTGCTCTCTGTAAATAAAGCAAAGCCACTTCCTCGTCCGACATTAAACAGAGCCCGACAGAGGAGGGAGGGGCGGGGAGGCTCTGCCGTGCAGCGCTTCAACAGCTGTCCTGTGTCTGACCTCAAAGTGCACAAACTTCAAACTTCAGCATTGGCTGCGATTTTGAAGCTGAAATCACGTTCGGTGTGAACGCACCATTACTCTATCCCAGTCCTGGTTGTGTTTGCATTGAGCAGAGTGCCGCCTCAACATGGGCGGGATCATAATATTAAACATGCGTAAACCTCAATTCATTTCATTTGCAATAAAAAAAATAAAGGACTACACCAAACTTGAAGGAAAAGTACCGGAGACTGTACTGGACCATCCAGCAGTGTGATGCTTAAGATGAGAAAACAGGACAATAGAGAATGGTAAGCTAATGGTAGCGTTTTGTTAGCTTGTTGTTTGGTAGCTTGCTGCTGTTGTGCAGTTAAACTTGTGTCAAAACAATATTACAGTTGTAATCCCCCAGTAAGTGAACCAAACATTAAGCAACAGTAGCTGATGTCAAATTGAACCGAACAGCTGCCGCGATAGAACGAGGGGTTTTGGAGTTCCAGAAATCACAGGGAATCAGGGGCAGACACAGAGGGGCGGCCAGGGTGGCAAGTGACACCTCTGGCATTTGATTGGCCCCCTAATGTGCTACCTTCCAAATAATTGACAAATGTGCAAGGATCATGGATTTTGTATTGGCATTTAGATATTAAAGATTGTTTTCTGATACTACTGTACTCCATCAATTTTCAGCTATGTATGTTCAACAATGGCTGAATTATAGCACTCTGTAAATATTAGCATTAGTAATTAGCTTAATGTGAGATTAGCATTGATAATCAGCATGTGGTCATTCTTAGCTACTCCATAACATATTTAATCTCAATAAGTTTTAAAATGGCTTTTAAAGTTAGCTGTGATGACCATTTTGAATTTCTGATTAGGTTTCATAAATTGTTTTTGGCTACTTCCACCTAATATTGAGCTTTCTATATTTACAAATGGCTGAATAACAGGTTTTTACTAGCATTCCGCATGTTTTTGTATCATTCGTAGCTTCGACCACACAAAATTTCAACTCAACATTCCTTAAAACATCTGATTTATAGCCATTTGGAATTAGCTGTTGCGGCCATCTTGAATGTTTAAATCCAAAGTGCTTTTCTTTATTGTATGTGCTCCCCTAAAACACACATTGGCCACCCCTGTGCCATCCCTTGCAAAAATGTCAAGCTCCGCCCATGGGTGGAACTGAGACATAAAGGCTAACGCAAACATGCGGATCCTGAAGACTTCTGCAGAACTGAAAATGTAATTCAATCATTGTATCAGGTGTGTTGGAGCAGAGGAACAAGTAAAACATAAAGGACAGCTGCCCTCAAAGACCGGGACTAAACACACCTGATCTAAACTGTGCAAGGTAACTTCCAACACACACACACACACACACACACACACACACACACACACACACAC